GCCTTCTCACATGCCCTTTATAAAACTCTTTCCTTTATGCCGCTCAGGTGGGCCACATATTATGGCTGGGTGCTTTCCATTTCACCAATCACTGCTCAAATAAACTCGTTAACGTTTTAACATTGACTCCCTTTAATTTTTAAGAGAAGGGGCTGGGCGCAGAGCCTCATGCTCCCAATCTTAGTACTTTGGAAAGCCAAAGCTGGCGGATCACTTGAGGCCAGGAGTTCCAGACCATTTTCTGCCATGGCGAAACCACTTATCTACTAAAAATACAAAAATTAGCCAGGAGTGATGGCGCAGTTCCCTAATCCCAGCTTCTCTGGGGCCTGAGGCACGAGAATTGCTTGAGCCTGAGAGGCGGAGGTTGCCGTGATCTCGCACTGCACTTCAGCCTGGGCGGCAGAGCAAGACTCCGTCTCAAACAAACAAAATGTTTCACAAAAGAGACTGGGAGCCCTCACCGGCCGCAGTTCTTCCCACGCAAACACCGGGTCGGGATTCTGCCCTGATGACCCGCCTGGCATCCCTGAACAATCTGGGAAATAATCGGGGCTGCCTGAAGAGCTCCTAAGGGAGGTCCAGACATGGTGCCGCAGGGACCGGGCGGGACGCTGGGGTCCGGGTATGGGCCCAGCCGCCATCTTGCGGCCAGAGGGGCCTGAGGCGGAGCTGCGCCAGAGGAGACTCTGGTCTGCGACCCGGGAGCGGACTGTGGAGAGGCCGGTCCTGCTGGTTTCACAGCCTGGTCTCCCCTCTCGGGTTGCCCAACCCCGCACACTCACCCTTTCCCAGGTTCCAGGATGTCCTGGCATATTAGCTGTGCGTCTCCCTGCAGATTACAGGTCAACAGAGGCTGTGACAGAGTCACCAGAGGCTCCCGCGGTGTAAGATGCGGAACAGTAGAGACAGAACCCAAACTCCGGAGAGAGCAAAAAGCAAAGTCCCCGCCGAACGTCGGCAGCCACGCCCTCCCCTCCGGCGGCGCCCCTGATTAGGCGGTTCCCGCGCCAGCGCCACTGATTGGATAAAGCAACAGCACTGGTACCACCACTCGCCCCACTCGGCATTAGTGCATTTTACCGACGGGAAAACATGCTAAAGGTAGGTAAGATAACATGCACAGGGAATTACAGTTAATTAAGAAGTAAGCTGAGACATGAATGCACTTACTCTTTTCCTTACCAGGGTCTTGTATAATGCATCTTATTTGCTTCTTAAGGGTAAGAAAAGAACATTTGGATTTTTCTTTTTCTTTTTTTTTTTTTTTTTTTGAGACCGAGTTTCGCTCTCATTGCCTAGGCTCAAGTGCAGTGGTGCGATCTTGGCTCACTGCAACCTCCTCCTCCCAGGTTCAAATGATTTTCTTGCCTCAGCCTCACGAGTAGCTGGGTTTACAGGCGCACGCCACCACACCCGGGTACTTTTTGTATTTTTAGTAGAGATGTGGTTTCACCATGTTGGCCAGGCTGCTCTCGAACTCTGGATCCCAGGTGTTCCGCCCGCCTCCACCTCCCAAAGTGCTGGGATTACAGGCGTGAGCCACCGTGCCCTGCCCATTTGGAAATTTTTAAACTACTTTTTAATGATTTTCATAATGCAGGAAAGAACCTCATCCCATCCCTGAGCCCCTCTCTCACCATGCTGTACTGTGCTGCTGACCACATTGTGGGATGGCCATTAGAAATGAGGCGGGGGTGGGGGGCAGCCCAGGCTGAGAATGGTGTAGAAAGAATTATGTTACCGGGCGGGGCACGGTGGCTCACGCCTGTAATCTCAACACTTTGGGAGGCTGAGGCGGGAGGCTCACGAGGTCAGGAGTTCCAAACCAGCCTGACCAACATGGTGAAACCCCGTTTCTACTAAAAAATACAAAAATTAACCGGGCGTGGTGGCGTGCGCCGGAAACCCAGCTAGCTACTCTGGAGGTTGAGGCAGGAGAACTGCTTGTATCCGGGAGGCGGAGGTTGCAGTGAGCAAAAAAAAAAAAAAAAAA